TGTGTGTGTGTGTGTGTGTGTGTGTGTGTGTGTGTGGTGTTTTTTTTTTGTTTTTTTTTTTTTGCGTCTCTGGGGAGCGGGAGATTGGACCTAGGCAACAAAACAGGAATGGAATAACAAAAGATTTGTGTTCTCTGAAGGAGACTTGTGAAGTCTAATTCCAACTTGCTGAGGGAAAGTGTTTAGAAAAGAAAAAGCAATAGGCTTCAACCAGATGACATGAGTTGCAGTATCTGCTCTGCCATGTAGTCGTTTGTGTGACCCTCATTTGTAAAATGGAAATACCATTTACACCCTTCTGGGTTGTTGTGAGGGTTGGAATAGATTGTGTGCATGACAGTGCTTTGTATATGCAGACAGAAGGAAAAAGGGAGCTGCTATTGGCTTAACTTATTTGACCTTTATTTTCATCATCGTCAGCCACTATTTGATGTCAATCTACTGTGCAGTGAGCAAACATTAAAATTAGGAAGCCAGGGGTATGGGAACCACTGATTAGCATCATATGCCACACGTGCTTCCATCCAAAGCACATGAGCAGAATGATATTAAGTCACAAGCCTATCAGAAACAGACCAGCTTTCTGCCTCCCTTTCTATGAATACCATGTCCCATGAACCCTGTATTCATGTGGAGTTTTAAGTACATGCTTGGAAGTTATGAGGAGACAGCCTGGTATGTTTGGGAAAGAAAATAATGGTTAGGTGCATGGCAGGTTTGGCTCTGCCATTTGGGCAAATGACTTAACCTCTCTGAACCTCAGTTTCTGTTTCTGTGAAGTGGGAATGGTAACACCTACCTTCTTCGGATTGTTGTGAGGATTAAATGAGAAGATGAATGTAATGCCCTTGAGCACACAGCATGGTACACCACAAATGCTCAACCAACAGCAGCGATGACAGTATAGGCAACTACCACTAGAAAGAATTTGAACATGTCCCAATTCGAATTTTGATTCCTAACGAAGATTTAGTGAATTTAACGTAAGTAGCAGAAAAGAAGATGAAGAGTTCCTTTCCACAGCTTTATTAAGTTTTTATATTCAGCTGGCTGTTGTCAAAAGTGACTTGATCATTCAAGAGATATAGGGACATTTGGCTTCTGGTTTGTGTGGGAGCTTTTCTTTCCCCATGAGCTCAACAGTCAGTCCCCAGATCTAGAGATGGAGAGCTTGGCACAAGGTCAGAATGAAACATCACCAGTCAATCCTGCTCAACAGGTAACTCTTGCAACAATCCTTAAGGAAAGGAGTACAGGGTCTCTTCATGTTTCTATGGTAAAGTCCATAGCTGCTGCTTCATGGAATAAGCAAACAAAGCCCATGTTTTGTGACGGGGTGGCAACACTTCCAGACTTGGTTCCTGCACATTCTGATGTGTAAATTCCATGATAGGGCAAAAGCATGCCACTCCACACTAATGCTGCCCTCTCACTAAATTAAACCTCGGAAAAATAAGATGTGGCTTGGCTTTAAAACTCAGCGAACTATCTTTATGGTACAGTTGGTTTCCACAGCTGTAAACAGAAAGATCTATGGTTTCTGCCTACCCAGGATAGTCTTGTCTCTAGACAATTTCTTGTTGATGCAAATGTTCTGGAACTAAATAGTGGTGATGGTGGCACAACACTGTGAATGTACTAAATGTCACTGATTTGTATGTATTTAATATGAATTAAATGTTAAAATGGTGAATTGTATTTATGTATATTTTACCATAATAAAAATATGCGTTGGAAGATGCATTTTTTGTGACCCTGAGTTGTAACTGTATTTTTCTTTGTGATATGTGTATACCACCTACCACATAGTAAGCCCTGATGTTTGAATGCATATATGTACATCCGCTTTTCGCAAGTCTCTGGTCTGAGTATTCCACTCTGTAGCATTTGGGTATCACCTAGGAATGTGATTTATTGACATCCCTGCTTTGGGTGGGATTGAGAACTGTATTTACTGCATGAGCACATATATTTCTTAAAAAACTCTTTGGCTTTAGCACATATTTGCCCACTGTAGAAAATTCTCCTACCCACAGGGCAGGCTGGGAGTGGAATGTGTGTCTGCCTTCTTCAAAGGCATTGTATGGCTTTCTCAATGGATGGCAAACAGGAAAGAGAAAGGGGTTCTTAAAGAGTACAACTGAACCAGTTCCTGAGATTCTTCTTTCAGCCAGCTCAGCCTCCCATCACAGGACTCAGGACTCTCAGTTCTTCTAGACAAAGTCAATATTGTTCTTTTATAAAGCAAAGATTATGAAAGGTGTCAGGTCTTTAAAACCTACACAAGCACAAAGTACAAAGGAGAAAGGGGTAGCTGGGAAAAACTCATGAAAGAGACAGTGTCTGCCGGAAGTCCTTGAGGCAGAGGATGTTGAATACCTCCAAAAGAAAGGCTTCAGTAAAAGCCAAGGAAGCTTCACACTGGTCAAGACTGGCCCTGGCAAACAGGAAAGGAGGGCCTTGAACACTGCGATGGAGGAAAATGCTCCCTGGACAATTTTTTTCCTCACTCCAGCCAGCATATTTCAGCTGCTCTTGCTATACCATATCTTTCCAGAAATACGAAGGCTTGTGAAAGATGAGCAAGCCTATGATGGCCACTATGACAAGGACCAGGGAGAACAGAACCATGAGGAAGACATAGGTGGAGTGGGAGAGAGGTGTGGACAATGGTTGCTCAGCTGGGATCATGTTGGTCAGGTTCAGCATGTAGCCCAAAGTCCAGCCGGCGTCGCTGCCCTGGATCTGCAAACAGTGGGGAAAGTCTGTTGTTTGTGGTTGGAGGCGTTAGAGGAGTTATCACCTAGGGCTTAGAATTATTGGATCATGCATTGGAAGAATTCAAACAATATAAATCACTGGCTGGCTCATGCCCGTAATCTCAGCACTTTGGGAGGCCAAGGAGAGAGGATCACTTGAGGCCATGAGTTTGAGACTAGCCTGGGGAACATAGACCCTGTCTCTCCAGAAAATGAAATTAGCTGGGCACGGTGGAACACGTCTGTAGTCTCAGCTATTTGGGAGCCTGGGTGGGGAGGATCACTTAATCCCAGGAGTTTGAGGCTTCAGTGAGCTCTGATCATACCACTTCATTCCAGCCTGGGTGACAGGGTGAGACCATGTCTCTTTAAAAAAATGTATATACACACATGCATCATGACTACCTCATGTGTCAGTCTTAAATTTGACATAGGTATAATCTTTCAAACAAAATAAACTGCTGGAATTAAAGGAAGTCTGGAATATGATAACAAGGAAAAGATTTAAGTTTGAATTAGCAAGATCAGCACTGACAAGAGTGTAAGGACACTGTTATCCTCAGGCCTCCTACAGCGCTCTGTCTCAATGCTTTGTTTTGCTTGAAATCACCATATTTAATACAGGGGGTAAAATGTTTTCCTCACTAGTGAGCATGGGCTTAAAAAGGTAGAGAGAGACACACTGCTCTGGGTATTTTTGGTCAAGCATGAGTCGCTCAGCTGAGTTCTCTATTCCTGGATACCTGCAGGTGGCGCTATGGTAAAGCACAGCATTGAAGTTGCTTCTTCCAGACTCATGCTAAGCCTGGCTTCTAAACAATGGTCTCATCATTCACAGCCACTCAGTCCCCTTCTTCACACTGAGCTTTCAGATTGGTCAACCTTGAAGTAATAACCAACAAGGATGATGAAACCATGATCATACTTTCCCAGCTTATGGAAGGGGCCTTTCAGAGGGCTGCTGAAGTCAGCACACAGTCATTGTAGCTGCTGAAATGCTGTTACTTTAATATATCTCATTTTGTGTTTTGTTTTGTAAGGAATTAGTCACTGTTATGTGGGAAGGTGCAACTGCAAATGCAAGTAGCTGTCCTTAGAGAGGTTGCCCACAGCGGGCCAACAGACCCAGGAGGGCTTGACACAGAATGCCAGGGTTCAAAGCAGAATGGTAGAACAGAACATCAGGCCAAAGCTACACCAGGCTGACTTCCCCCTCTTTCAAGCCCCAAACTGCTTCAGTCACTACCACCGAACCCCAACCTCCCCCCAGCCCAACAGGCCCCCAAATTACCTTGCCAATGAAATGGATGTGCTCCCAGGAATCAGCTGTGAAATGATAGCCTTGCAGAAGGAGGGAGAGAATGTAGGTACCAGAAAAGCAGTATTCACTCAGGTACTTCTCCTTTACTCCAGCGTAAGATGTTTTTATCTAGAAGTGAAGTGAAGGAGAAATCATACTCGTACAACAGGCATCTCTCTGTGGCCCTCTTTTTCTCTAGTAGACCTGATGAAGAGAGGGGAACGCCCCAGCTCCGGTGCACCTGAAGGTTGGCCTCTTCCAGACGGCTTTGGGGGTGGTGCTGCACTCCGTCAGTGCGAGCAGGGTTTTATAGTTTAGGATCTCTTAAGGAAGCTTTTCCTGCACAGGTTTCTGTGAGATAATAATAGGTTCTCCAGGAAAAAAGTAGTTCCTGTGGTCTAGTAGGTTCCGAAACACTAAATTTCAGCACTTCTGTTCATCCCCTAAACTTTGTTTAATCTGAGTTTTCTGTATGCTGTTGACCAGAGCCTTTGGCCCAGAGCCTCTGTGAGCATCTTAACAGTGTCATTAAAAGCCTTACCACTCACTTTAGTCCCTGGACTGGCAGCATCAGCATCACTTGGGAGCTGGTTAGTCCTCACCCTAGAACTACCAATTCAGAATCTGCATTCCAAAATGATTCCCAGATGATTCATGTGCACAGTAAAGTTTGAGAAACACAGCTCTGGAACACAGTTTAGGCAGCATTTTGCTGAGGACTGCTAGCACTGCCAACATCTCACCTTCTATCTTCTGTCTTAATGTCTTTTTTTGCATCTGAGTCATGCAAAGTGGTTGTTTCCTTGAGTCCTTCCTATGTTTACTCATCCTATTCCCTACTAAAAATATTAAGAGTTGCTTGCCATCCCTTGCCCTTACCTAGCCTAGCTGTTGTGAATATACACCCAGATGCCCACAGCCTCCTCTGCAATTCTCCTGCCCTCAATTTGAGGACAACAGGCCAGGACCTCTCTAGTTCAGCCTGGACTTCTGTCTGCTGCTCCATCCATCCCTCAGCCCTTCAGATAGGCATTGCCTCCTGGACACCCTTGGCAGAGAGAGAACATTTGTTATGGATGCATCATGTACCATCTGGACCTATGCCAGATGTTTTATATGTAGTATCTCCTGGATGCCTAAACCACACCCCTATTTTCCCAGATTTCTCTCCCTTCCGTGAGTCATCCCATCTGCAAATCCTAACTCCTGCCTGGGGTCTGTTTCTCACTTGGTTCCTGCCTGTCCCCAGTTTCTGAAAGGATAAGTCCATAACTAGACTGCCTTGTCTTGCTCTGATGAAATCCTCAGAATGACCCAGCTTGGAGCTTGTCTTTTCAGCACAGTTCTGGAAATTACCCTTTGATTGATTCCTCTTCATGTGACATCCTCTTGAGACCTTGGTGTGGACATCAGTTGACATTGCCTGTCCAGGTCCCTACCCCTTCCTTTCAGTCACTGCATTCTGCTTTCCCTTTGTGAAAAGACCTCCTCCCCTATCGAAGTAGTCTTGGGCCTGTCAATTGAAGGATACCTATGGGATACAAAATCCCAAGAATCTTCTTAGGTCCAACTTGAAAGTGCTGAGCCCCTGTAGGTCCTTAAAGGCTGGCCTATACCTTGTGTGGGGTGGGGCGGGGGAGGGGGGGGCAGCTGGGAGATGCCATTTTGGCCTAATTTCCCTGAATTCTTTAACACTTCTATTCCCCTCCTCCTTCTGGAAAGCTGTACATTGGCTATGCAGTCTGGCCTCCTGAAGGTTGTGACAGTAGCCAAAAATATAGAAGCCAAAAAGGCATCCACCTTCTTCATCAATCCAGAATTGATCATGCTCATGCCTGTAGGTGGATTCATTACTCTGTGCTCTCCAAATTGGGAGAGGAAGTCTACTTTCCTCTCTCCTTTCTCTCCCACCTTCCCCTCTCTCTTCTCTCCTTTCTATTCCCAGGGCAGTGGAACATGACGAGGTTCTCTTCCCTTCATGGATATCCTCTTTCCGGCCTCCACATAAAGGGGCATTGACGGATCTTCAAGAATGGGATGCCTTTCCCTAGAAAGGCTGAATATTCACAAGGCTGAATGTGAGGATCCAGAGTACACTGAGATATAACTGGTCATCAGTACACATAGAATCTGATCACGTTGCTCACTTGGACTGACCAGATCTTGGATGCCCAGATTTTCAGAGTAGAAAAGTGGCTGCGTTCCGGCTGCTGAAAGATTCTACTCGCCCTCTAATGAAGCTGCCAGAAGACAACCATGGAGTCTCCCTTCCACTCACTCGCCCAGTCTCTCCACTTCAGAGACCCAATGACTTCAGGCACCTGAAGTGTCAGCAAGTATGGTTTGCATTTTATTTTCCTTGCCAAAGCAGGGAAAGGCAGCATGATAGATATGCATAAAGCACAGAAAGCAAATGTCCACTACTGTCAACACACAGTACATGCTTAAACATTGCTATTATCTCTCTACCAAAGGTGTTTAGAAGGAACATTCCCAAACACAAGCCATACTGGAGTAGCAGTCCTTCCCCACGATGAAGTTAGGAGGGAAAGCGTCACCTCCTAACAATGTACTTGACAAAACTATGTTTTCTATCTGGGTGAATGATGCAGCTTGGGAAAGTGAACCCTGGGTCATAACATCCACCTCAATGCTATAGGCTCTGAGTGAGGACAGGGGTCTAACTCTGCAACCCCTTCCCCAAATGCTTCAGGAATTCTCCCAAATGCGGGCCCTTCTTAGCTTCCTTGCAGGGCCTCTGAACAATTCCCCACATGACTTACCTGAGCAGACCTACAGGTCTAGATATAAGCATTCCCAGCCTAACATAATCTTATGAAGTAAAAAATGAGATGTGGATAAGAGAGGAAACCTGACAAAACTTTTTTTTTTTTTTTGAGATGGAGTCTCGCTCTGTCGCCCAGGCTCGAGTGCAGTGGCGCAATCTCGGCTCACTGCAAGCTCTGCCTCCCGGGTCCACACCATTCTCCTGCCTCAGCCTCCTGAGTAGTTGGGACTACAGGCACCCGCCACCACGCCCAGCTAATTTTTTTTGTATTTTTAGTAGACACGGGGTTTCACCGTGTTAGCCAGGATGAGAACTTTTAATCTAAACCAGAAGTAATTTTTTTTCAAAGAGCAGCCTAAATCTGCTTCCTCAGCAGCCATATGTAGGCCTGGTCTCAAATTGCCTCCACTCCAACATGCTTATCTTCCTCCACAGATTACCACCAGATGCAAAAAACCACCGCTAACCTTTTTGTAAAGTGCTGAGACATTTGAGCAACTCTTGATGAAGGCCCTGACCACATTTCTTTCATGTTCTAGACAAAATACCTGGAGAGAATGGCAAGCTTCCCAGCTCTTGCTCAGCCTCTCTTCCCCCTTGTCAGTGCAGACAAGGATAAGCATCTATTTTTAATTGATAGTATTTCTTAAGAATGAAAACACCATTCACTTTTGCAACTGTCAACTTAAAAAGAGCTGCTGTTCTGAGCTATGTCTTTTATAATCAGAGTGGATTCCATACCTCTCATCCCTTGATTTTCATCTTGTGGCACTGGATGTTGAATGGCTCAGTGCCTCTGGTAAGAAAAAAATTGTGCTTCAAGCTTATGAATAAGTAGGAGATATCTTGGACCTGGGAAATGGAGAGGATTTTACCACAATCGTGTATGTGGCAGACTCTGCAAATTGCCTGCTTTCTTGCTAACAGAACTCTGATTTGGGGATTGGTGGAGGGGAGTGGGCCACAATGTGCCCAGCTCAAGGAAGTGGCTCATGATAGGTCTAAGCTTAAGCTGGTCACAAAATTCTGCACCTGGTTTTCCTAGTCAATGCTGGCCATTGAGATATAAGGGGAAGACTGCTGAGTCTGGGATAGCTTTTGCTTTCCTGTAAAAATGAACAGATGTATCTGGTTCTACCCCTTTTCTGAACTTTCTGAACAAGGCTGTGATGCCTGAAGCCACAGCCACCATCTTGTGTCCATGAAGAAATAGGCACAACAGCAGAGCTGAAGAAGCAATGGCTGAGACAGAGCAGAGCTGCTGACCCCATGCCAACGGCTGCCTACTGTCAGACTTTGTATTAGGTGAGAAAAAAAATAAGATCTTATTTAAGCCACTGAATGTCAAGTTAACAAGGAATGCCAATACATTCATTCCTGAGTCCACCACCTGGTCTTCTCTAACACATTTGCTGGATCTTGGTCAAACCAGCAGGAGTTTCAGAGCAGACTCACATCCTCTGCATCAGCGAGGGCACAGGGCACTCATGCTGTTAGAGTTGCTGTGCCTAGTCACTTACCTCCTCCCAAGGCTGAGAGCAGAACTTTTTCATCATCTCAGTCACCTTTTCCTGAGAGACTTTCTCTGATGTCAAGTTTAAAAAATTCATCACAAAGTAAAAAGCTGAAAATGCCTACAAGAGAAAATTGCAGTTTTAGGCTGTGTTCCACACAGAGGGATGCCAACTTGCTCTCCTAAAGGCCGCATCCCTTGTGCAGGTGCCTGGAAAGCTCTGCTGAGTAAATTAACACACAAAGTGATACTGCAGGCCCAAGAGCTGTTTCCTTCCTGGAAGAGGAGCCCCTTTGCTGCTGACACACATTTCTAAGCCACCTGGCAGTTACTTTTCTCCATAATTGTCATAGGAGAGTCAGGGAGAAAGAAAAATGGGGAAAGAGAATAAGAAAAGAGAGAGGAGTTGCAAAAATCCCGTTTAAAAATACTGTGTACTACCTATGGATGTTTACTAAATATATAAAACTAGAAAATTCTATACAACACTATTGAGTTATCTCTGAGTAGCAAAATTGGTTTTTTCCCCTTGTGCTTATGTTTTGCCTATTTTCTATAATGAATATGTACTGCTTTCCTTTAAAAATCCATCTTTATTCAACAAATATTCATTACAGGTCTACTATGGGCTAGGTACTATTTTAGACACAACTGAATTTTTTAAAAATCATTATCATCATCAAACATGAGAACTATAAAAAAGTTAAAAGTTAAAATCAGTAAAACAAAAAAAAAATTCTATTAAAATGACCTCTAAATTCTACTACTTAGTGACAACTGCTATTAAATATAGTACATAGGCTTCTAGCATTTTTCTCATTCTATGATACATATGTAACTTTTATTATACTTCATACCACCCTATAACTGCCTTTTTTACTCTTTTAATAGAGCATGGATTTAAAGGGGAGAAAATGATTGAGCAGAGCTTGCTGGATGAGGCAATTCAAACCCCAACTCTAGTGCTTTTCTTCTTTCCTACCCAAAAGGGTGCCGGTTTTTAGGGGAAATCATGTTGGATATTAAAGGAGCACATCATTTGTTCATTCAGCAAACACACTGAGCTCTGTTTACTAGGCACTGTGCTGAGTCATAGTTTACTGGGATTATTTGAGGGGAGCATAGAGTTTTCTCTGTGGCAAACACGGTTAGATTGGGGATTATAATTTGGCTTCTGTAAAATTACTTAACTAGAAGTGAATGTAGAAAGAAAATGTGATTCCCAAAGTGGAATTCGCATAGGCAAAGAAACAGAGTTTTGGTAGGCAAAGAAACAGGAGGTAGCAGAGATCCCACTGGGGGCTCACTGTGACTCGGAGATGAGGAAAAATATCCTCCACCACCAAAGAAATTTCCTGCTGCAAACAGGCCATATGCCTCAGTTCCAGCTGAAATAAGTTGCATTTTTCAATATTCTCAGACATATATATCTAATAAAATAAGTGTGAGCATATTAGCCCTTTTTAATACATTTTCTTTTTTTTTTTTTTTTTTTGGCTTTTTTTCTTCCACTTTCAGTCCCAACAGGAGTTCATACTAACAACTTAATATGAAACCTTCCATTTTTCCCATGCTCCTATAATCATATACAAACACATACATATAAAGGGTTTGTTTTAAAAATGAAATTTTAAACAGATTCTTCATCTTGCTTTTCTTAACAATCCTTTATAGAAATCCTTCCAAGTCAGCTGGGGCCACTCTAATGGCCACGTAAGAGTCTATGGTGTAGATGTATCTTAATTCATTCAGTAACTCCCTACTGGTAATTCTCCTGATTACCAGCAATTTCTCCTATGAGCAATGGTATAAATACCTCTCTATACATTTAGCCTCTGAACTGGTATGCTCATTCCTCTAGGAAGTCGAGCTCCCCAGAAACTGGAGAGCCTCCATATGCCCTGAACTCAGGAATTCCAGCACTTTAATTATCATTGTATGCCAGGTGCAGAAAAAGATCTTGGTATGGTCCTATTTCAGCTCTCTTAACCCAAGCCACTATCATCTCGTGTGGACACTGCAATGGCCTCTTAATTAGTCTCCATGTTAGTTTTCTGGTTCTAGTCCAACCCATCCTACAAACAGCAGTCACAGGAATCTTTTAAAAACAAATCTGATCATATCACTCCCCTGCTTAAAACCTTTGGTGGCTCCTAATTATACTTAGAAAAAACTCAAATCCTACAAGGTCTCTGAAAACCAGGCATATTCTGGCCCTGCCCCCATGCCCACCATACCCAGCCACCCTGGCTTTCAATCCCTGCCAAGCCTTTCCTCCCCTAAAGCCTGTACACTTGCTATTCCCTCTGCTGGAATTCCATGGACTTCCACATCCCCTCCTCAGAGGGGTTTCTAGGACCCTCTGTTATGTCCTTTCACAGGACTGTCTCTTTCTTCCCAGCAGTTCCTTTTGATTTGCAGCAGTCTGATTTTGATCAGCAGCAGTCTGATTTGCCTTTGCTTGTGTTTCTGGTCTCATGTCTGCCTGCCTTTGAGAATGCCAGCTCTGTGATGGCAGGCACGGAATCTCCCTCGTTCTTGGTTGAATCTGCCCCCACTAACATGGCACTTGGCATATGTGAGTGCTCTATAAATAAGCGGCAGAAAACTGCTCTCTCTCTAATTCCTAAGGCACAACAATCTCTGTTAACTGACAGACTGTGTATGTTTGGATTCGCATAGCTAATACCTGGAAAAGTTCTTCCTGTTAACTACAAGTATTTCTCATTTTTCCTCTAGTGAACTGATGGTGGAGCGAGAGGGAGAGGAGACCTTTTAGTTTTTACTTTAATCTTTTTGTACAGTTTGATTTTTTTATAATGAGCATGTAATAGAGCAATAATAAATATTTCCTTAAATTGTTACATTTCAAAAGACTTTCTGAAATCAGTCCTAGAGCTTATTCTATTAGCAAAAGTCTCAATGAGTTAAGCATCTAGAAATTCTCTTGCTTTTGCTAAGTGGTGACATTTGCTTTATAAAATAAGTACAAATTATAAAAAACAGATGAACAAACAAAAAATTTCTATGAGGTAGATTTAGCAACATATTGAGCCTTCAGTAGGATACACAGCGATCAAGTCAGCAGGGCCTCCTGGTCCATGCCACCTCCAACTCCCCAAGGCACTATATGCTATAGGCTCTTGAAAAATTTCCCATGACCTTCAGAAGCCTCCCTCTGGCATCTCAGAATCTTGCTCTTATTTATTTCTCAACATTTGAAGTTTCCCTATTCATTTATTTTCCTTCAAAATAGAAATATCTTTAAAATGCTGGCTTATTCAAAAGAAACACGTTTATTATATAGAGTTTAAATACAAGTTAAAAATGGAAGTCTCGGCTGGGCGCGGTGGCTCATGCCTGTAATCCCAGCACTTTGGGAGGCCAAGATGGGCGGATCATGAGGTCAGGAGATCAAGACCATCCTGGTTAACACGGTGAAACCGTCTCTACTAAAAATACAAAAAAAATTAGCCGGGCGTGGTGGTGGGCGCCTGTAGTCCCAGATACTTGGGAGGCTGAAGAGGAGAATGATGTGAACCCAGGAGGCGGAGCTTGCAGTGAGCCGAGATCACGCCACTGCACTCCAGCCTGGGTGACACAGTGAGACTCTGTCTCAAACCATAAAAAAAAAAAAAAGGAAGTCTGTCCTTAATCTAACCATCCTCTAGAGATGTACACTTTTTAACGATTTACTGTTTAATATCTACAGCAAATTGATATGTAATATAAAATAGTGAATATATATTTATATAATTATATATGTGTATATGTACATATATAACCTAAATACGATGATACTAGACATAATTTTTTATAATACCACTTTGTTTTACTTAATACATCATGTTTCCTTGCTGCAAATGCCATGATTTCATTTCTTTTTATGGCTGAGTAGTATTCCATAGTGTGTGTGTATATATATATATGTGTATATATATGTATACATATGTGTGTGTGTGTATATATATACACCACATTTTCTTTGTCCACTCATTGATTGATGGGCATTTGGACTGGTTCCATATTTTTGCAATTGCAAATCGTGTTGCTGTGAACATGTGTGTGCAAGTGTCTTTTTCATACAATGACTTCTTTTCCTCTGGGTAGATATCCAGTAGTGGGATTGCTGGATCAAATGGTAGTTCTACTTTTGGTTTCTTAAGGAGCCTCTATACTGTTTTCCATAGTGGTTGTACTGGTTTACATTCCCACCAGCAGTGTAAAAGTGTTCCCTTTACACCACATCCATGGCAACATCTATTATTTTTTAATTTTTAAATTATGGCCATTCTTGCAGCAGAGTAAGGTAGTATCTCACTGTGATTTTAATTTGCATTTCCCTGATAATTAGTGAGATTGAGCATTTTTTCATGTTTGTTGGCCATTTGTATATCTTCTTTTAAGAATGGTCTAGATCATCAGAGTGAACAGGCAACCTACAGAATGGGAGAAAAATTTTGCAAGCTATCCATCTGACAAAGGTCTAATATCCAGAATCTATAAGGAACTTAAACAAATTTACAAGAAAAAAAAACAACCCCATCAAAAGGTGGGCAAAGGATATGAACAGACATTTCTCAAAAGAAAACATTTATGCAGCTAACAAACATATGAAAAAAAGCTCATCATCACTGGTCATTAGAGAAATGCAAATGAAAACCACAATGAGATACCATCTCCCACCAGTTAGAATGGCAATTATTAAAAAGTCAGGAAACAGATACCGGTGAGGCTGTGGAGAAATAGGAAGGCTTTTACACTGTTGGTGGGAGTGTAAACTAGTTCAACCATTGTGGAAGACAATGTGGCGATTTCTCAAGGATTTAGAACCAGAAATACCATTTGACCCAGCAATCCTGTTACTGGGTATACATCCAAAGGATTATAAATCATTCTACTATGAAGACATATGCATAAGTATGTTATTGCAGCACTATTTACAATAGCAAAGACTTAGAACCAATCCAAATGCCCATCAATGATAGACTGGATAAAGAAAATGTGGCACATATACATCATGAAATACTATGCAGCCATAAAAAAAGAATGAGTTCATGTCCTTTGCAGGGACATGGATGAAGCTGGAAGTCATCATTCTCAGCAAACTAACACAGAACA